TCTCTCTCTCTCTCTCTCTCTCTTTCCCTCTCTCTCCAACATCATTCATCTCTACCATTGTTAGTCCTGACCATCAATAATTTATTTATAGAGGTATTTTGCCATCCACGTCTGAGCCATGTCCAGGTGCTGTTTTAGCAACCATTGTTAGTGTAGTATTAAAAAATCATTAATAGTATCCAAGCAATAAACTCTCTGTTTATTTTTCTGAACAATTTTTCAGTAATGACCCTATTAACCCATTTTACTAAGACCTCCCCAATACTCTTCACCAAATCAGAACACAGGACCAAAAAAAGTATATCTCTGGTCAGAAAAACATGAACACAATTACTTTTACGGCGACTTTCAATGTTCCTCATCTTAACTACCGCCCTCTTTTATTCTTTCGGAGACTAGAGCACCCAGGAGCTTCTAACAAAAGCCAAACAAGATTCACAAATCAACCCTGTGGTGGAGAAGTGCTGGCTCACATCCTACGCTCTCTCTCCTTCCTTCAACACCTCAACGGACGAGCTGTTTTTCCTTGGCTTGGAGCAGTTCCTGAGGGAGAACCCGCGGTTCTATAGCGACGTCGTACTGGAGCCACAGAACTTCTCAGTCACGGCGTCGAGGTGTTTTGTGTATTCTTACAAAGTGAGCATGAGGAAACCCTTCGTCCTTAACTTTCGTGTTGTATGTATGTCATTGATACAGTCCTTTGAAATTGTTGATAGGTAAAAAGGCCTAGATAGATAGATAGATAGATAGATAGATAGATAGATAGATAGATAGATAGATAGATAGATAGATAGATAGTGGTGGATGGATGGACAAACGGACGGGCGGATGGGTGGATGGATGGAAGAATGTGGATGGCTGGAGTATCACGACAGCGAATCAGGCTAGATATATGGCAGAGCTGTATGATGCTTCTGGGTTCACAGTGAGACTGTTCTGAACAGGGGCGAAGGCTGACTTGCTTGACAGGGTAATCAAAGTGAGATGGGACCAGATAGGGCCTAGAGATATCACACAAGAATCTTACTCGATGCGCAACTCTGAGTTGTGAACGAAAACAAATCCTAAATTTATGTTGTACGCATGTTCAACCGCTAAAATAATCGGAAAAGTATCCCATTTCATTAAATATTTACTCCCACAAACTTTAAATGTATCTTTAGATGTGAATACACAAACACAAAGCAAAGAAGCCGAGATGACCATTCTACATGTAACACCAGTGTGTCTAAATTCTTTCTTAGAACCTGACAATTATTAATTTTTTTATTTCACATTTGGCTGTTTTTGTCTAGCGTTTCGCGGCCAGGAGCCGGTGTCATAATCGAGGTCACGATCTGATTATAGGACGGTAAAAAGTCGAGGGAAAAAAAACAAGAACTCGTAGCAGTCAAGATACTATTAGGAATTAGTTCCCCTCACATCTGTGCAGTAGACTCGACCGCTGTAATAGTTAGTTTACATAATTAGTGCTTGTGACTGCTTATAACTGTGGCCCGAAAGGAGTGTTGCCATGAAACAGCTTTGAGTGCTGTATACATGTTCCCGTCAACTCTTTTGGTAGACTCTTCCAGCCTCATTGCAAGCTTACTTAATCAAAACTTGCGACTGCTTATTGAGTGGCCCGATAGGGGTGAACAGGCTATTTCTGTGGCAATGAAACAGTTTTGAATGTTAGGCATACTGTTCATTGGTGATCATGAACATCTTTTTACAAAATTTAATTTATGAGGTTTACGGATATGGGTGAATTTGACTGTGATAATGTTTCAAAATTAGGAAGGGAAGCAGTGATTATTTGATTATATAGACTCTTAGCCACTGGTTCTGAATAATCTATTTTGCTCGGTAAACCGTGTTCGTTTCTTTAAAAGATACTGACAGTGTAATTTGTCATGACGAAAACAAAGATCCTCAATTTGTTTCCCTAGATGATGTTAAGGGATGATGCAAGTTGATTAAGTTCTGTTTCAATTTGATAATTCGATACAAACCTTAGATGAACAATCAATGTGGGTGGTTGGAGGAAGTTCTGCTGCTAAACTAAAGTAAACTAAAGTAAACTAAACTGAATTGAACTGAACTGAACTGAACTAAACAAAACTAAACTAAACTGAACTAAACTGAACTAAACTGAACTGAACTGAACTGAACGAAACGGAACGGAACTGAGCTAAACTAAACTAAACTAAACTAAACAATCAGAGTACTGATTGGGTTGATGTGTTGTTGTTTCTTCCAGATCGTCGACTCTAACGAACAGGCCGCCCTGATGTCCAGAATGCGTGAGGTGGCTGACTCATCCCCCCTGGGCGTCTTCGCCTTCCAGCCGGCCTTTGTGTACTTCGAGCAGTACTTGGCTGTGCTACCCAGCACTCTCAAGACTGTCGGCGCCACCATTGCAGGTGGGAGAATTTTTGTTTCTTAAGATACACGTATTGTTGTTTTTTTACGTCCCTTTCTACACAATGTAGGAGATAGATTTTGACCCACTGCTAAAATTTGGCTCTTTTTCAGTTCACCATTTGTACTACGTTTGCTTTTAACTATCTACTGTGTAATTGAGGGTAATACTTTTGCAGTTAGAGATTTGAATAGATAGAATCATCTTTGCTGGACAACCGAGTGGAATATCATTTGAAGGTTGCTGTTTCCCACTGTGTTTACTGATTACGTAAATATTAAATGATGATTTCACCACATTCAAATATCTAACCATTTATTAATACCACGCTGAACACAGTATATATACACACACACACACACACACATATATATATATA